AGATAGGATTTTGACAGGTACTGATGAAAAAGTGATTAAAAAATTATACAGTTATTTGCTGGAAATTAAATTAGAGGAGGAACAAGTTAAAGAAAGGATGATTGTTTGGGGAAGAATTTTGGATATGGGATTGATTTAGAGAAATGGCAAAAACTGTGGTCTCAAAATTATAAAATGACAATGTCAACAGCATATAAAGAAAATTTGTATAAGATGTTTTACAGGTGGCATTTTCCCCGACAAGAATAGCAAGAATGTTCAAGAATAAATCTGAAAAGTGCTGGAAATGTCATCAGATACCTGGCTCATATTACCATATGTGGTGGACTTGTGAGGACGCTAGAAAATATTGGACTAAAATTTGCATATGGTTGGAAAAAATGACAAAGAAACATATAGATTTGAAACCAGAGATCTTTTTATTGGGAATTTTACCTGATACATATAATAAAAATTTGAAGTATTTGATTGTAAATGTATTAACAGCGGCTAGGATTGTATTTGCTAAAAATTGGAAGAGTGAGAAAATTCCATCAGAGGAAGAAACTATTAAGAAAATATTGGAATGTGCTGAAATGAGTAGATTGACATTTGAAATTAGAGAAAAAGAAGATAAACAATTTTATGAACTTTTGGATCTTTTTTATCAATGGTTAGATAATAAAACATAATAATAGAATATTTAGAAACTTAGGATATAATGAATATATACTTTCTTTTTCTTTTTTCTTTGATACTATTTTTATAAAATTTTATTAAGATAGATTTGGTATGATCTTATGATTTGTTGTAAAATAAATTAAGTAAATTATAGCTATCTTGTTAAAGTATGAATTAACAAAATTATAGTCAAATGATTGTTTAGTAATGATACTAGGTTATACAATTGTTGATTGATAATATGAGTTATTATTTAATATAACTACAATGGTGACTAGGAAATGGATGCACAAAAAAAAAGTGGTAAACCAACCGATACACTGTTTGTAAATTTATGAAGGAGGAGGATGTTTTTATGTTTTATGTTTTATGTGTTTTTGTTTGTTGTTAAAATCAATAAAACTTTTAAAAAAATATTAAAGCAATATCTCAGTAATAAAAGAGGGTTTAACAATATCCAGAATCAATATCACAATTCTGCCTCCCACCCCCACCAAGCTCTCAGGTTCGACCATAAAGGCCCCCATTAGGGAGATTCAAGACATTGTGGAGAACAGTGGCAAATTAATTAATTAATTGGCAAAATGTATTCGTTTGTTTGTTAATTTTTGCTGGTGTTACTGACATTAGTTTTATTTGGTTCCCTGTCTAATTTTTAAATCAACATAGAGAGGGAGAGAATGCAAAACAGCAGACTTGGTCAATGGTGGGCAACACTGTTGTTTCCAAGATTGCCTCTAAGTTCTACTCAGACCTCAAAGGCATTCCTAGAAAATCTAAAAAGAGAGCCAGGAATAGATGAAATAATGTATTTTGTATATGTACAAATCATACGATTTACTATTGATATATCCTGTGCAGACCAAAAAAAATGTGCATGGCTATAATCCCATCGGACGTTCACCAGAAATCATGACATTTTAAAATATGTAGAAATGGCCTGCATACATTGTCTCTGCTCCATGTCCTCTTTGAAAAATTACTTTATCTCTGGAACTTGATCATGGATCATGAGGAGGAGAATTCTACTTGCTTGCAAATAAACATGACCAAGATCTGCGACTGAAGGGGTACACATTCTATTGCTCTATAGAGCTTAGCCATAGCAGTTTAGGCTAATGCCTCAACAGAGAGAAAATGGTTTAATATATATTCAGGACACCCCATGTGGCACATCTGCTGCCTGATCCCATTGTTGCAGAAATATTCGAGTCCCCCCGCAGAGTATTTCTGTACATGCAAAGGGAAGTCTGCATTTTCTCTATCTCAGCTAGCAAAACACTTCTGAGACTAGTTTTGCATATTTTGCATACAGGGACCATTGATAGAATCGACCCATTTTTTTTTCCAAATACACCCCAAATATCAGATCAAAAATCTTAAAAGTCAATGATTTCTTATATAAAAAACTATTATTTAAGTATTATGGTCATCATCTGTGGAATATCTATTTGCCCAGTGCCTAATTAGATAGATAGATAGATAGATAGATAAATAGATAGATAGATAGATAGATAGACAGACAGACAGACAGACAAGATAGTGTGTAGAAGCCATTTTGCACTGATATGATTCATATATGCCATCATTAAAGTTTATGAATGAATTCATAAACTTAATTGCCTAATACTGAATAATAAAATAATCCATAAAACCCTTTCTTTATATTAAATTGGAATACTGAATGAACTATTCATTTGAAAATGCACCTTTATATTTCAAATCTCAATCTATTATGACAGTATCCCATTTTATTAAATGACCATAAATATGACAGTTATATAATGATTCCAAAAGAAGGGTAATATCCTGCATAGTTTGCTGGGCAGCAGTTTTAACAGCAGATTAAAAGTAACTGTGGTACTAATTTTTAACCAGGCACTTAATGAAGAGTTTCTTTTCTGCATTCTTCATGCAAGGATGCTTTAACTTGGTTTAAAGAATAGCAACATTTTAAATGTTGCATCTGATTCTTCGATTTAACCTGATTAGTGCCATTTGATCATAGCGTAAGCCCAAGCAACACAGCTGCTCCATCAGCTTCTCTTCAGAAATAAAGTCTTAATCATGTATCAACTGAATGACTATATTAATTTTATTAATACAGCAAGTAGACATTCCAGATTTTATATCTTTCAAAGGTCAGTATACTTCTTCAATTCCCCTAAAGTATCATCGTTCCCTGTTTTCTTCTCCCCTAGCACTAAACAATGATATCCTATCATTAAAAATGTTACTGTGATGTTATCAGTAATTAACATTTTTCTTTGTTTAAAAAAGGAAAAGCTGCAAATGCACATTCTAGTTTGGAAGTTCTTCTTATGCCCAAGTACACTTCAAGTATTCTCCCGATATTCCTATAAATCCTTCCGAAAGATCTTATGAAAATGTTTACTGCTCCATTCTAGACTCTTCTTTATACAACACAAACCCAAGGAATTTTGTTAGTCAAGCAACTAATACTTTTCCAACCGAGGTTAAGAACATGAAGCAAAAGTCACTAATTAAAGTGTAAGACTAACAAAATATAGTCTTAATCACTTGCATTTCTTTGTACGATCAGAAATATTAACAAATGACATCTCATAACATACTTTGAAATAAAACATGTATTTTAAAGCAAATATCTACTGCATATAAAGAGGGTTTCAAGAGCAACCCCTCTGCCAGGATGAAGGTAAAATGGTCATCATTCTATCTTCAAGCAATGGCATTCCATATCACACGATGTTTCGCATTCATAAATACATGACAAATACTTCCTCAATCATTTTTTACAAGCAGGGATGCACAGGGGGTTGTCAATGGCTAGCTTGAGGGAAAATAGGAACAGCAGGCGGCAGAAGCTGTACTGAAAATGGTTATGTGGTAAATTCTCTTCTGTAACATCACTCAACCATCCTACTTTGATCTTTCAGCTACAAATTACATGAATATCCACAAAATCTGGATTCGAAGAACACTACAACCATCACTGGTATATGAACACAATACTATTTCTAATATTAGTTCATAATATAGACATTTACACATTTTAAAAAACAATTTAGGTGGTTTTTCTTCTAGTCATTCTTCACCACAGTCAGTTTCATATCTACACAAAAATATTAGTGTGATTGGTGTCAGAGAAATTACAGACTGGTGTCTCCCAATTATTTAAAAAACTTAATGTCTAATTACTGATCTTTATTGTGCAATAGTATCTACTGAAAATTCCCCAAATACAGAAGTGCTCATCCATTCAGCCTTTCCCCTTTTCAAATAAACTTTGTCATTGCAGCCCTCAAAAAAGTTTTCTAAAAATCCTAAATTTATATTTCTGTGAAAATGAAAAATGACTCGTGGAGCACAGTATTTTGCAGTTCAGCAACAAAATAGTCAAGAGTTTTCTGAAGATTGATTTAATTTTAAATAATCCATTATCAGAAAAACTTGCCAAGTTTGCATTCTGAATTATTCACTATAAAAGTTCAACTTTTTTTTTAGAATATAAGTGCATTATAACAATAGGAGCAGAAGAGTTCTAAACTGAAATAATTTCACAGAATATATCTTATAACTTATTGGAGTTAACCATCTGACATTAATTATTGTTTTGGCTTCTAGCCTGTGAATGTTTATTTTTCAGTTTAAAGTCTTCTCGCTCTTTGATACCATATGGAAATGAGAATGTTTAATGGGAAATTGAAACCATGTGCATCTAGGTACTTAATGAAGTACAGGGAATAAGAGTACGTTTTAAAAGAATTCTGATACACTGTTCTGGATACTTTTACAAAACAAATACAACAATAGCTTAATTTTTCTTATATATTAGCACACAATTGCATTTGTTAAAATAATTAAAAACAGTGCTTTAATTGATGCTTTGTTTTAATGCAATAAATCAAACATCTATTGTCCACAAAGTCTCATCTCAAACTTTTTAGGACAAGTTCACTACTTTCAGACATGAGAATTCTAATATATCATCATGTTCTGGGATTGGATCTTGATCTAAACACTGCTTGACAGAGAACCATTGTCAGTATTATGAAAATTTATGCTCTGAATTGGACAAAGTACATGGAATATTCCAAAATTAATAAGTAAGAATCAAGAAACAAAGCTGGATTTTGTAAAGCAACTAATGGTTCTATAACCAATATTTATAAGTCAGGCAAAAAAAATAGTAAGAGGAAAATTGATTTAGTTTAATAAAATTTTAATTTTGAATGTATTCCATTAAGTATGATATATTTCCAAAAATAGCATTAAGTAAGGAATAGAAAACAATAACATCTATATTAACCAACATTAATGTCCCCTTGGAAATTATAATTAAACTTTGGAAAACTCACCATTTGTTTTTCTTTCTAATGTAATCTTTTTCGGAGAGGTTAATCAAATAGGTCATTGGTTTAGAAGTTAAAAACAAATGTTTGTTGAGCACATCAATCTAAAAGATAGCAAACAAAAATCATGTAAAATATGCAAGTTTGTAGCGTCCCCCCATATAGACTATAAGTGCAAGTGAAAAATAGTATACTTATGGTTTGTAGATGAAGATGATGTTAATTTGCTAGAATTAAATTAAAAGGTTTATATAAAAATCTGGTGCACACATTATGCCTCTCTTCTCTTTGGGTTTTAATGGGAAGACGTGAGACTTGATGAAGTAACAGTTATAAACTTGCCTCTTTATCATTCCAATCATGATAGAAACGAACTGGCTTTTTTTCATCTATTACCCAGCTTTTGATTTTGCACATTATGTCCTGGTGGAATTAAAAAGATACAAAAAAATATTTTAATATGTTATATTCTGCTGTCTGCAGGATTATTATTTCTCACATGAGAGGAATTTTAGTTAGCAATATATAACAAATATTCTGAAATGGGATATATATTTGAATGGCTGATCGCAGAATATTACTAAGCATAGAGTAGATATGTATGGGAAAAATACAAATTATACTCTTCCCTCCCTTGTGGAATAAAAAACAACAACCCTATAAGTAAATTTAAAATTGCCTTTCAAAACTCCATATTGGCAAAATAATTAAGCATCCCACGGAAGCAACCAAAACACATGCAAAGATAACAACAACAACAAAAACCAATTGGCAGCAAAAGAAATTGAGCTGATTAGTGAAGATCCACCCATCAAGGTATTTGTTCAAATACCCAAAGGCCATCATCTTATATATTAATTTTTTTGCCCACACCTTCTCATCTCCTCCAAAAAAGCGAACCCTGCCAAAACTTTCATTACACAATGGCAAGAGCCTTGCACTAGTGACCTCCAACCAGCTGCATTCACTTTCAGAACATCTCTCCCTGCAGGAAATCTAAAGGCCTTTTAGTTAGCAAGCTAGTGTGCATTCAGAAGGAGTAACTGCAGGAAGAGCCCAATGTGCTTTGTTTCTTTGGCCTTTCTTCACAGAAAGATTAATCATCTGTGAAATGGAAACGGCAAACAGCAAGTGACACAAACTGAACCCTTCAAGCCTTTCCTCATCAGTTTTGTGGTTCTGCATCTGAAAGCTGCGTGTGGCAAGGTTTGCCTTACAGGCAGGTGTTAATAAAAGCCTCTTAGGTCTGAAAGGTCAAACTAAGCTCTTCGAGAAGTAGCACGTTTCTTTTTTTGTCGGACGTAATTTATGGCCAGGTTCTAAACGCTACATTTCAGGAAAATTAACTTGAATATGATGTTCCATTAAAGAATTTAACACCAATTTGACGTTTGCCAAATTTTAAGGCACACGTCAATAAATAGGTCACATGCATATAAATATATGACCTTAGTATTTAGTATACTAGTATCGCCAATCATGCAATTGCTTCAGGTGGAAAAACAAGACGAAAGCTCTTCTAAATCTCAGTTCCTGATTTGTAACTCTCCAGGAACGGGACTTCCCACAGATTTTAACAAGAAAGGGGCAAGCTGAAAACTTTTAATGAAATATAACATGTTCTGCCTAAGAATAATCACTTTTACTCTCCTATAACTGATTTTCACTCATAAATGTTTTTAAAGTGGCTAATGTAACACCATTTCCTACAAGGAGAAGATCAAAGTGCTATATTACAAATGCATTATGATTAAAAAAGCACTGTGCAGCCTTGCTATTAAATGTTCTTTAAACCCTAAAAGGCTTCCCATAGATCTCACTTGGCACTGCATATACAACCTTTGACAAGTAATGTAGACCATTTTTATTCATTGCCTAAAATTGTAGGCAATTATGTGCGTCACACTGGCCACCTGCAAGTTCTGAATGCCTGCTCCAGTTGTCAGAGCTAAAAACTAATGTCGGAGGGGATTAATCTAAAGGGAGAGAGTCCTCTTTAATGGCTACAGCAGGTGAAATGGCCCAGCTGGTTACTATGATAAGTGGCCAGAACAGCTTATGTAGAGACATGCAACAAGATTACACATGTAAAAATAAAATAAAATAAGTAGCAGAACTATGTTATCTTTGGTGCTTATTGATGTTTTATTTGATCAGTAAATAATTCATTTAAGTTTAAAGTGTGCATTGTTTTACCCTTAGCATTTTCTTCATTATTAGAATAATTCCTCCAGTAACCCTGCTTAACTACTGGAGGAATTTTATACTGATTCAACTTTAAAATAGATATTTACATAAGCATAACAGCTGAGATTCTAAACTCATCAGGATAAATAGGAATCTCTCTTGTATGTACAATTTTTACTTTGATTTTTTTTTTCTACACAAACAAAAGGCTGTGAGAATAACAATCCAACCTTTCTTCCAAATTTGTTTAAGGAGAGCAAACATGCTTTATACTTGCTCTCTAAACTTACACTGTAAGAAATTACAGAACCATATTTAAGAGAAGATATGTGTAATCCAGCAACGATTGTCCATACTATTTGAATGTTACGTTTCACCCATAAAAAGGTCAATTTCCTCATGTCCACCCATTTATGCAATTAATTTCCAAACTATAGCATAATCATCAATTACCATGTGATCCAAATCCATAATGCAAAAATGCAAGATTATCAGGATAATTTTTCATGAACAATAATTTATCTGAAAGAAACCAATTTGGTAGATGTAGGTGAATCAGGCCTTCCTATTATAAAGCAAGATTATAACATAATAATGCTACCAAGATATTCCATGTCTTTACAGCATATGTACACTTCCAGTGTGATGAAAATTTAGGGCTCCCATTTTCCTCATGATGATAACTATTTCGGTAATGAAACTTTTAACACTTTGAAATTTCTGTTTATGCATTCTGAGGACTGACATAGTCATGTGATGGGACAATAGTCTCATATCAGTTCATTTATCTCTTTTCCTTACTGAGACAGCTTATTTCTACTTAAGCAGCATACTCATGAATGTTGACCAGGGGTGTCAAACTCATGCCGTCATGTTATTGCCACGTGACGTATTGCGTCTTTCCCCCCACTTTGCTAAAATGGGGGCGGGCGTGGCCAGCGCGTGACACATCCAGCCTGCAGGCCGTGAGTTTGACACCTCTGATGTAGACCTATAATGTCCTTATTCAGTAAAGTTGTGGAGGAGAAACATTAAACATCAGATTTATGTTTATGCTTGTATTTTAAGAACTGGTTTTGTATTTCATCATGTTTTTACAAATATTGTTACATCACTTTAAAAAAATCCATATGAACCTACTATTATTAAGCGTTGTAGCTTATGATTCTTGACTCTTGACTAATGTATCTATTTTATGTACACTGAGAGCATTTGCACCAAGACAAATTCCTTGTGTGTCCTATCACACTTGGCCAATAAAGAATTCTATTCTATTCTAATTAATTAAAAATACATCAATTTGAAAACAAAATCTACAAGTTTGCCATATTAATTGCACCTGCTAGGTGCAATTCATTTCTCTTTCAAAAGTAATTTAAATGAAATATCTGAGTGGATGAAAGAGAAATGGATGTTGTGATTCAAATGTATTTTTGTTTTAAGAAATTCAGTTAAGTTTGCCACACTCATGAATATTTTTGAAGCATGATGATCTGAGAGCACACTCCCTTTATTCAGAATGAGAGTGGTGAGGTGAAAGGGACACTGGACATTTCTATTTTCAGAGATAAACAGATGTGCTTCTTGAAAAAGGAATCTAATAATTTATATTTTATGTATATATGTACAGTATGTATATTACACCTTCTCAATTTGGCCTATGACAGAGTCATCCACTGCACAAATAATCAATTTCATGAGGCAACACAATTTTAACACAGAAATATTCTAGTGTGGTGATTTTCCTATTATCAAAGTCTCTGTCGCATGCTAGCAACATCAAAGAGCCAAGATAGGAAGTATGAATGCTGCCATTCAGGTGTCATCATTTACCATAACAAAGCCTTCATGGATACCTAAAAATCAAGAGCAATACCATTTCCCTCTTGATTTGCAGGTGTGTTTCATCAACCACATGCAAAATTGTCTCAGTATTCCAGGAGAAGATTACTAGAAAGAAAATGATGAAATATTCATATTTATAAATGCATAACCTGATCTGCAAAATGATCACTCGCTTTATCACATTGACCATAATGGCAAACAGGATTCTAGGAGAAACCACTTTTTCTAATAAAAGAGTTTCAAGTTGAAGTATGAATCATGCCTTTTATGCTTCTCAAGCACAGAAAACAATGGGCTTTAGTATACAGGTGATCATTTATATTTTCTCAATGTCCTGAACTTTAAGCACATGGATCAGAAGAGGCAGAGTGGTTATCATTTAACAAGCTTTAAAAAATCTTGTTCAGTTCTAAAAAAATAACAATATAAATATTTTAGTTTTTTTTAATCTATTGCCAGCTATAACCTTAGGGGCTTATTTAATTCAACATTGAGATCATTAATGCATAGATTTCTGATACACAGCAACAAATAATTTTACTTTGTTGGCATGCAAGGCGATATAAAATCATATTTGTCATGCAATGATTCAAAAAAATTTTAATCGAGGAATACACCTTACTGTAACATTAAGGAACAGTACAATAGCTCTCTATTCATTCAGTCTATTTCCTGCCTGTCATATAAAAAAAAATGACATGATGGACAACAATACCATGAAGATGAACAAATGCAAAGCATCAGTAAAACCAATAAAGTAGAATTCTGGAAGAATGCCCTGTCTATATTCTATTCATTACAGTAGATTTAAGTCTTGTATTAAAATGTAAATAGTACTAAAGAAACACACACACACACACCCTTCAGGAAAATAAATATAGTCTACAATGGTTCTTTCTTCTAACTTTCATTTCTAAGTATTAAATACTCTCCATTACTGAACTGGGGTCCCTATGAAGGAGTGAATGAGAAAGACACCTATGAGAAACAGAGCAATTAGATAAGATTTCCCCAAGCCTAGAGCCATAAAGAGTATAAAGATATCCTGTAGTATCCCTGCGCACAAAGAAAAAACTATATAGTTCTCAAATGTAAAGAAAAAGTATTTCTTCTTTAAGGGAAATGGTATTTAATTTCATAAGAGGAAGAAGTACAATCAAGTTATTACATCCATGCCTGTCTTTCACTAAGCCTTAAAACCCGGGGAATAGAGCTATATTGTCAGAATCATCCATTTAGTTGAATCTAAAAAAAAGATTACCTTATACAGATAATCCTTGACACCACAAATGGGAATTTTCACTGCTAAGCAAGACAGTTGTTATGTGAGTTGGTTTTTTGCCATGGTTTTAATTGAAATCACATGGTCTTTAAGCAAATATGGCTCCTCCCACTGACTTAATTTGCCTGATGCCATCTGGGAAGGTCACAAAAAATGATCTCGTGACCCTGGGATTCTGCAACATTTGTAAATACATGCTGGCTGGCAAGTGACTGAATTTTGATCATGTAACTAACCCTGGGGATGCTGTGATAGTTGTAGGTATGAGGACCGATCGTAACTTTTTCAGCACCATTTTATTTGAATAGTTGCAAAATGAATCATTGCTATGTCAAGGTCTACCAGTACAGTCAACCATTGATGTAATGGAGTAATGTACATTACATCCAAATGTCTGCTAAATTGTAAATGAGATTTTACTCCTGAGGAAAACATGTAAGATAATATAATGTTCAATATATGAGTCCATCTGGGTACCCAAGCAAAACTGACTACATCATATCAAGTGATAAAACCATGTTCTGCAATTTTACTGCCATCAATTGTTTTAACATTGGAAATACAAGATAAAGTGAAGATAAACTGTAGAAAAAAAGCATATGAAAATGATAAAGACGTCATGAGAAACAAAAATAAAGAATGATAAGATGTTAGAGAAAAACAATGGTTTTGAGATTAATCTATCAAATCACCCTGCTCTATTGCAAGATTTGGAAGAGATGAACTTTATGGACCAAAATGAACAAATAGTCAAAACATCTTTGAATCTATTACATCTATAGCACTACGGGAAAAACACTTTGTACAGTCAAAAATCTCTGATGAACTATTAATTTAATGAAAAAAACACTGGACAATGAAGAATATTGGAAGTTTCAATAATAAATTTGAATATGTTGAATGTTGCAAGACCATAAGAAAACGTATCCAAGATGAAACACATCAGTTTAACTTGAAACTTCTGAAAAAAGGCAACTGAAGAAAACAACGGGATTAACAGAGCAAAATACAAGAAAAACGTTTTGCACTAAAACAGGAAAATTGCTATGTGTGTAAAACAAGCCAGGAAATGTTAGAAATAATAGGAAAATTCTATTCAGAGCTACACAAAGATCAAGATCACTCAAAAGTAACAGCACCCACAAAAGAGGAAACGCCAGATACCTAAGTGGAGGAAGTATCAAGTACCACAAAATCAATGAAAAATGGCAAAGCTTCAGGAAATTACTATGTCATGGTTGAAATTCTGAAAGCTGATGGTCACAGTTTAGACAAGATGCTAACAAAACTATACTTGAGATGCATCAGTGAAGAAAAAATACCCAATGCTGAAGTAATTCTTATACACAAGGAAGGAGTCCAAGATGATTTAAAGCACTATTGCTCAATAAGTCTTCTTTTAATCATCTACAAGGTTCTCACCAATAGCAAAAAGAATATTGAGAACTTTAAATGATACACAGCCAAAGGAGCAGACAGGGTTCAGAAGTGGTTACAGCACAATGGATCACATCCATTTTGTTCAACAACTCATCAAAAGGCACAACGAGTACACCATGCTTCTGTGCATATACCATGCTTCTATGAAAAGGCATTTGACTTAGTATTCCAGCAATCAATAATTAAGGCATTGCTCAACCCAGGCTTAGACACTGCTTACATAAACTTATTACAGTCAATATATATAAAAATGGCAACCATTTGCCTTAATGATAAAGTAGAAATCAACATATAAGATGTATGACAAGGTGATACATTATCATTTATCCTTTTCTCAACCTGCCTTGAAGAAGTATTTTCCAAAGTAGATTGGGCAAAAGATGGAATAAAAATCACTATTTAAATCACTTAAGATTTTCAGATGTTGTTATCTTTTCACAAGACCCAGAAGAGCTAAAAAGACACATATAAGAGATGCACAAAGCAGAACTATTTGGCTTAAAAATAAACTTGAAAAAGAGCTAGGTTATGTTTAATAAATTCACTAAAGAAAGAATTTTTTTATATCTGGAGAAAAACTAGATGTAGTAGACCACTACATATACCTTGTCCAACAGATCTCAATGGAAGGTGATAAAATAAAGAAAACTGAATGGCGTGTTAAATACGGTTGGCAGTCATTTAGCAAGATAAGCATAATTTTCAAGAACAACCTCTCCTATGCCTGAAAAGTTTTTGATCAATGTACCTTCCCTAACATATGCCAGCGAAACATGTATACTAACTTCACAATCGATACAAAATCTACCAGTGGTGCAAAGAGTCATGGAAAGATGCTCAGCATTACAAGACAAGATAGAAAGACCCACACATGGATTACAGAACAAACAAAAGTATACGATATCATCAAGAGAGTAAAATAATTGAAATGGAAATGAGCTGGTCACATAGCAAGAAAAACTGATGGCAGGTTGATCAAGGCAGTTATAGAATGGATCCCATTTGATAAAAAGTGTCCATGAAAGAGACTTAAAGCATAATGGATCAATGACATCAGCAAGTATTGCGGGGCCAAGTCGCAAAAAAAAAAAGCTCAGGACCATAGTGCTTGGAAACATGCAGAAGAGGCCTTCATCCTGTAGTAGACAATGGCTAAAATGATGATGATGATGATGAGGTGTGTGTGTGTGTGTGTGTGTGTGTGTGTGTGTGTGTAACATGTATGGAGATTTTCTGGATTGATTTGTCAAAGTCTGTTGGTTGAGGCAAAGTCCAAGCTCAGATTTTATCTATTACAGCCAATGTCTGCTGAATTGAGATATTCCAAATCTAGACTGTTTCTGTATTTCAATTTTTCGTCTCCTCCCCCCATTGCTTTTAAAATTTGCTAGAAATTTTGCGACTTTAAATGCATCTCCCTACGTAGCTCCGAGCCTGTTCTATTTTCTTTCTCCATATCGTTATAAAACAAAAAATTATCCATTCAGGAAATTTTTATGGATTAATTTTTTTAAGTCAAACATTGGTGTTAACATTTGTTAACATTTGGTTGGAGAGCAATTTACTTGTTACACTACACTTAACAACAGTAATATCTTCTGCTAATGTAGAAATAGTGTTCTCTATCTCTGGAGTAATTCATTAAAACTGAGATAAATTTGGGAAAGCTTGATTTCTTTTTAAACTCTAAATGAAGAGGAATACCCAAATCAAATGTAAATATATCATCCAGCTAATGATGTGTTTTGTGCTGACTTGATGGAAATTGCTTTTCTTTGTTAAACTATTGTTTATAAATAAGTTATTTCAAAAAATAATTATTCTGTAACTGTTGAAAAACAAGCAGAAATAAGCAAAATTATTAATGCTAATTTAAAATGTTGTATACATCGTTAAATATAAATATCCTCCAAACAATTCTAAAATTAATTAGATTGGACAGAATTTGATTTGATTCAATGCAAAGGATTTTACGAATATGTATCTGCTTGCTTGATACTAGCTAAGTATATCATATAAATGAAATTTACATTAGCAAGTAGTAAAAAATATGAATTCAAGTTATATCAAAGAAAAATGCTTACAGAATCTTCCTACCTAATGAATAAATTAGGATTTCAGTGAATAAAGTGAGTCTTCCTGACTGGTGATTTAAAACATTTTTTCCCAAATCAAATCCTGCTTTATTCTAGTTGTCAGGGACAATTAGTTGCAACCTACTACAAATAAATCCTGAAGCTATTACAGGATTTAATACAGAAATCTGTAAATGTTAAAACTAGGGCCATATGCTTATTCCATGTGGTTCAACATCAGCTATTCCTTCTTTTCAGTCTTCATTTTTGCTGTGATCATTATTTGCCTATTATGAGTTCTGGAGAATATGAACATTTGCATATTTTAAGAACTTTTGAGTTTGTCTAATATAGATATTTTGTTTTTGTTTTTCTTGTTTTACGTTAATATGCTGCCTGGACTTCCAGGCCATGTACATGGGGTGGGAAGAAGACAGTTCTCACTTTATCCCCTATATAGAATGAAGTAAAATCCAGTATAGTGTAATGGTTCACGTACTGGACTAGGTAAAGATCCCAGGTTCTAATCCCCCATTAGATATAAAAGCTGTCTGCCTGACTTTGAAAGCACTATTTTCTCCCAGACCTAGACAAGGAAGTATAAAAATCCATCTTTCTCCAAACCTACACTGGACTGCCAGTGGACCGATTTGTATTGACATCAACAACAAGATAAATTAAATCCAAAGAATATTTCAGATTTATCCAATGGACCCACAGTTGAGTCCAAATCATTGTTATTCTGCAGTGATTCTCATACCAGTATCTGAATTAGTTTGACAGATTTTAAGAACATACACACATGCAGAAGTTACACATTCTCTATTAAATTACAAATAATAAATCTTCACTATTGTGTAATTATATTATCAAAAAATAAGTATTTGTATAACAATTACATAAATATATACAACTAAAAAGAACATGTTACTGCAACGTACTGGTGGAATAATTTAAGTTCAAAAGAAACTAGTGACTTTTTTCCAGGGCAGTAAAACCCAATGATAATCTGACAATCAATTAATACAACAATCCTCTTCTTTAAAAAAACAAATATCAATCCTACACTCCAAAATATAAACCTTTGAAATGGAATATTTTCTTACTTACATATTCAGGTTTTAATTTCTTGTCACCTCCTCGTACAGCCACTTTTTCTAATTTGTCTATAATGGGCATGATCATTTCCTCATCTTTTAGTCTGAGTTCTTCATGTATTATTTCAATGTCACGAACTGGATCCACGCTTCCTTCAACATGCGTGATATCATCATCATCAAACGATCCTTTGTGGAAGCAAAAGTGGGTGGTTAGGCAATATTCTTAGCTAATAACAACGATGCTCAAAGTACCTAATATGTCACAAACATTGTAGACGCACAAAACAAACCCAGGACGGGGGTAAAAATTAGACACAGCAAACCCAGTAGTTACGGCTATGAGGGCAGAACACAATTGATATTTTAAATTTTCCAGGGTCCTTTTTCGAGTCAAGAGTCAATATTATCTCATAATGTCTTAGAGCTGGTTGAGAAAAATTCTCTTTATATATCATTTGATAAACACAGTGGCTTAGAATAAAGTAAACATTGAAACTGCCAGGAAGTTCTGTCAAAGAATAGTGAAGTTCTCTAGTATAGTAATGGGTTTCCAAGGGAAACAGAATTTACGAAAAGAAAGGGGGGGGGGGCGCAAGGGCCTGAAATCATCTGGCAGACCTCTTCTCTGCTTCCAACTACTTTATCACTATGGTTCTGACGGTGATTAGATAATGAACCACTCAGACACACAATTTACACAGCAGCTAATTTCATCGGTCTGATTTGAGGGTATGGTTTTTAGGGGGCCATCAAAGAAGCAGATGAAGGTGCATTTGTCATATATGAATGACAACCATTCACACTATCTCAACAAAATGGTGCTGGCCCTTATTAGAAACACATGCTATTATCACATATTTAAAGTGCAGCTGAAGCCATAATTTCAAATTGCCAACTGGAAACATAAGGGTAAAACAACCAGATATTACTGAAGCATGTGTACTGACTTTATGCCCTTCTGAAGACATAATGTGGCAACATAATTCAACTGGGATACTCTTGAGTTATCAATAAAGAATCGTATGAAAACAAAAATTAAACATTTATTAATAGCAAACTATAATTTAAATTGTAGGCTTATTCATGAATAATTCATGACAAAAAATTTTGACACCATGTAATAGCAGAATCAACCCACTAACTTCAGGCACAATGCTTTAAGCACAATTTAGCATGGTTACAACATTTTTAGTGTTGTCAATTATAATAACCTCCTGATTAAAAAAAAAATCTTGTGACCCAATTCTTTTTTGTAATTGAATTTGGATCGTGAAATTTAATGCTGTACTCTGAAACACCTAGGCTGCATGAAAATAAAACCTCCCAGCATTTCTGAAAAGATGTCAGCCACACATCAGGCCAATTCATGTCACCTTTCTCGTTGTGTGAGGAATATCACCATGTCTTCATTTTGAAAACTATGCATGGTAAAACTAATCTTTTCCCTTCTAATTATATGACTGAAAAATTCAGACAGCAGCTTGTCATCTGGTGTTTTTTCCCCCTAAAAACATTGTGAGGTATAATTTTTTTCCTGACATTGCCTAGCTCATATGGCCACATATGCATTCACAGGTCAATACTAATTCTTTGAAGTGTTTATTTTTAAAAAAACGAAAAAGAAAATATGAAGATCTTTTAATGCTTACAACCAACACTGGTTAATCTGACTCATTTATTTTGCAATAACTGCATTTTCAAAATATCTGAAAAGAAATCCATCAGGTAAAATAATATCAGATGATGATGATGATTACGATGTTTTGCAATCCCCACCTTCCTACTTTACAGGAATCATTTCCTTCCTTCTCAAGCTCTAGGTTGTATTTTTATTACCCCTTGACTATAATAGTAAAAGGAAGTATTTAGGTATATTCTTGTCACTTTACCATATTCGTCCTATGACTAATTTTTTTTGTAAATATTTGAGAATTTTTTAGACACATGTTCTATTCCAACTTTGTATGGATTTACATTCAACATTTTAATCATTCAAAGAGCTATTGAGATCTTGCCAAAATTGAGGAAGTGCTTTTACTTTACAGGTCAATTTTAGCGGAGCCCCAATGGAAGTAAGGTCAGAACTTTAAAAGAATTTCAAAGAAAAATAAAGAGTTGCAAAAAAATATGTAAGGAAAGGCATATTTGACTGATTTACAGGAAATTAATTAATGCTTGTAATTAATTAAATTAACAGAGTTGCTCTTTGATATTCATTTAATTTTAATTTAGGAAGATCAGTTACATATCTTGCCTTTTAGACAAGTCTAAAGTCTATAAACTTTAACCACAGAATAGACTCCTCTTAATCAAATCGTCTGAAATATGTTTTATAAACATAACTATAATTAATAATCATTTATCACTTAGATTAGAAAAGGCTTATATTTTAAAATTCAATTAAATTCTGCTTTTTTCTAACACAAACCATTATTTCACATCCTCTATCACTCTGAATGAATGAAGAAAAATTCTAAATCTTTTTTTATGTGATATCCTTTAAGATAGGGGTGTAAAACTCGATCCCACCACGGCTGTCTCAGGATTTTGTTTGCCCTTGGGTGTCCAGGGTGGATGTCCCTGGTCGTGGCCAACAGGATGGATGGGACTGGTCCCTTGCTGTCTTTGTGACAGCCACACAGGACAACTCTAGGCCACCTGTTTGACACTCTTGCTTTAAGATACTTAAAGAGATTAATTATATCCTCATTCCTCTTCCCTTTCCCATACTTTTTCTCTTTTCAGGTATAAACATCCCCAAGCCTTTCAAACTCTTTTTGTGAGCAAATTTCTAGTGTCAATTCCTTCTCTTCACTAAACCTATTCCAGGTAGTGTGAAAGCTACTTGAGCAAACACAATATCCAAATATACATTCAACTTACTTAGCTACAAACTGGTATTAACTAAACTGTTATTTAAAATCAATCAGAATGTGCCAGAAAAACTAACAATAGTGACTGGATTAAAAACTATGATCTCTCTGGGAAAAACAGGCAAAGATTTATTTTAAACCTAAGATTTCACTATTCACATATAAAAAGAGGAAATGAATCTACCATCATCTTGAAAAAATAATCACTATGATTTTAGCTTTCCATGCACCCAGAAGTACAATTCCAGTTACTGATCAAATAAAAATTGTATTTGCAACATCCAGCTGCCCACACTGCTTTCCAACCATACAGATTTGGATATGATACTCTTCCCATTATTATGTAATAACACAGCACTATAATGCAGTTATTTTACTATTTACATTTTATTCACTTTTATAACAAATGTCTCACATATAAGTCTATCTCAGAAAATTCTTTTAAATATGTGCTCCCTTAAATATGAATACAATTGTATATGTTTTTAAAAACAAAATATAACTTAAAGGGATGGATAATGAAGATTTCAGAAGAGAGATCACATGATAGTTTCAGCACACGTTATGCTTAAATATTAAATTGCATAAAAACGACCATTTTCCAGTGCCTTTGTATGACAGAGGTAGAGTCTCCACTTTGTGCCCAAATATGACTGATGAGTTTATTTATCTAGCCACCCTTATTATTGTATACACAAAAATGTGAAATCACAGCTGCCAGTTCTCTAGCTGGTATGGCCTTCATTTGCATTGAGTACTTCCCAAGAACCTGGGATGTTGTAATGTATCACCGCAGTATGCGTGCGGATCCAAGCAGCACGGGCTTTTGTAATGGACAGATGGAAATTCTGCCAATGTGCATATTTTTAAGTATCTAGTATGGCGCCCAGTGTACCAATACCCATGGAACCACCATAGCCAGTTTATTCAATCTTTTAATTACTTTTGCTTTCTTTTGCCATAGGCACTCTATTCTATTTGCAGATCTTTGTATTTTGTAGTTTTTCTCCAGTTCTTTCTCTTCTTTTCTGCTTTCTCAAGATACTGCCATGTCCACTACCCAGACCTTTTTTCTTTCTTATTGACAATTATTAAGCCAGATATTATGTGGCAGGGTTTTTTTTCTTATTACACTCAAAGAACCTATTACTATTAATGTAAAACAGCCTATCCTTCAACCTCTCCTAATTCAAAGTTCTATGAATTGGCTGTAAAATGTTTCCAATCAGTCTGCATGAAATATTCCTTTAGACTGTATATATATTTTTTTGCTCTTTCAACGACTCACTTTTGACTCACCGTTTCAGTCTTGAAGACCACTCTCATCTGTTTCACTTCAACAACAGCCCGGATATCCTTTTCGTATAACACAATAAAAGGAGCATAGTTTCTACATGTTATTTACATATTCTTCTACCCTGCTTCTTTCCATATTTTAACATGATATAAATTCCATCTATATTTTATGGGCTACTTTTAAATAACAAGCTGCCTTGGTATTATTTTACAATATGCTTCCATTTTTTATGCCGTCCATATGACAATTATTTCAAAACATCGAGAGATTTTGTCAATGCTTATGTTATACCTGTCAAGATCTGATGACTCTATGTTATGTATTCCTCTGAACAGAACCACTACACTTAGTTACAGGCTATCATCAACCAATTCATTCTCTTGCTAAAATCAAGTCATCCAATTACTCCTTGACTAATCAAGGCTGTTTTGGCTTTTTCTTTTTTCAAAAGGTACTCAACAGCATAAACAGTTCACTTACAAGAAATGGAAAGGGGCTAATCAGCAGAATTATTGTTTTGCTGCTACAATTTGCAGTATTTAAATGCAGTTGCTGATTGGACTGAAAGTTTTATGATACAGCAAAGGAAACTAGTTTGACTTAAATATGAAGCTGCCTACGTCTTGCCTACTGAAGGAAAGAAATGCAGAAAACTAGAATGTTTGCAGCAATTCACTTTTTATATTTATGTGTCTAAGCAAATGTTAAAATATATAAAACGGATATGAATATTCTTAATTTGCTAGACATGCTTATTTTTCCATCTTTTCTAATTTTCTAATTTTATGTTCATGTTTTTACCATGAACAGACTCTCCCTTTTGTTTCTAACACACTGAGGCTCAGAATTTAAAAATCCAAGTACTTCATCAACAGTTAATTTATTGATTAACCAATAAATATCAAGAGACTATAAAAACAATACTGAAAAACTAGAACATATTTTTCTATCATCTCTCCTGTGGAACCCTCCCAATCAGTTCTAAGCAATCCATCCTTTTCCCGATAGTTTTTGAT